TACTACAAACACCACCAAATACTACAAATACTATACCAACACCACCAAATACTACAAATACTACTACAAACACCACAAATACTACAAATACTACTACCAACACCACCAAATACTACAACTACTACCAACACCACCAAATACTACAAACACCACCAAATACTTACAAATACTACTACCAACACCACAATATACCAAATATACCAAACAACACCCAACATACTATTAGACTACCAAATATCCGACAAGATACTATTCTAACCTCGTATATCTTCTGTTATAAGAATACCCCGAGACTAGCCTCATGGGGAAAAGCAATTTCTTACAACCATTGGTGGGGCCTCGGTTGGCTATTATGGGTGAAAACGGGATTAGTTTAGATCATCCACGTAGATCTAGTCCGTGAACACACCTGGGAGGTAACTATATATTATGAGATGTGAGTAGCTTCACACGTAACTGTTTATGTATTCCAACATCAGCCCAGGGATTCTGACAACATATATACTAAATTATGTGATAGGATAGTTAACGATCTCGTTTTGGCATAAACTTTCTTATGACTAATGACTAATTCTAGAACTTGAATTACGCGGTATATCTACACCTGGTCTCAGCATTAGTAAAGGCTCCGCCCTATCATATTTGGTGATGACGTCCGTGTAAATGGATAGGTCTTTATTTTGCTCTCTATTTGTGTAAACTTTCAACAACGGCTTCGTTATTATGACTCCCAGAGAGGCATCAGCGAAACGCAACTTTAGGTTATTTCCTGCTACAAAATAAGGCCTAAGTCATTTTCTTAAAGACCATTTTATGCGCAGTTTGGAAAAATATAGTTCACTTCAGTCATTTATTTTAAACTATCTGGAGGCTTTTCAGCATAATGTTTCATCAGCATAATTTTTTTTCACCAAATCAGAAAAATCTTAAAGATCTTATGATCTTTGGGAATCTCTCTTAATATATACTCTTGTCAAATTCTTCCATCAGTTTGAACATTAAGTGACTGTTGAAACAACAGGAGGAAACTAACTGCAGAGAGTTAGATTAACATTTGTACCACGTGGATCTTAAAGTGAGAGTGCTAATGCTCGACGAGGTGTCCACTATGATGAATTCATTGATGACATCGACGCGAAGCAACGGAAACATTGTTCACTACTCCAGTAAATAGGACAAACCGTACGTAGATATTTATGTGAGGAGCCAGAGAGCTAATGTTTGTCAAAGTCAATAACACTGCGTACAGTTGACAAACAGTAAATATAATTTGTTTGTTTTTGTTTATAATGTTTGTCCAATCTCCCCAAATCAATATTTCCACTAATGATGCACTGACAGACGCAGCCTGAAGGAGCGAGTTGAACAGCCAATGGGATGTGAGTATGAGTGAGTTCAGAGGGGCGGTGTCGGGCTGAAGATCTCATTAATATATCTGACAGCACTGACGGTTTCACTGGAACTACTGAGAATGTGTCCTGTATCAGCTATTAAACAGCGGGAGTTCTTCATAAGAGCGGCTGCAATCAGACCACTCTACGGACAGTAAACTGTGAAACAAGTTCCAAACTCAAATCCAAAACCTCGATCACACGTCAGTCTACTGAAGTCCTGGAAGTCAACAGCATCACCATGCCAACACAATGCCATGCACCAAGCAGAGACCCCGTCGTCTTGTCACTCTATTACCTCAACCAATCAGGACAGGTGAACTCCCCAAAAACACTTGAAGGAGTTCTTGAAAACAAAAACAGCAGAACTCACGTCAACACCAAAACATTAAAATACGATAGAAAATCTGTCAGAATCACAGTAAACATACCCTCAGAAATGATTGCAGTTACAGAGATAAGCAAATATTGTGACCTGAGAATTATAGTTTTAACTGTTTGTGTTTATCCAGCAGAACTCTATAAAACTATTTCATATTTCTACAGAGAGTAGATAGAAAAGGAGGCTGTTGGAGAAAAGAAAGTTAAATATGTGTCTGTTACTCGATTCCAGCTGTGATCAACCAAACTCCATTCAGAAAACAAGCATTTTAAAAGTCGTTTGTTTGTCATCTTGTTGATGTCGTCAACATCATGATGGAGATATTTCAGCATCCTTTAGATCCGTTTATTGACATTAAAATCACAGAATCATCTGTTTATTTTAGACCAGTGTGGTAAACCAGATTAAAGTGCAAGTACTCGCGGCACTTGAGCGTTGAGTAATAGTTTCTTTTTATTTATTACTTGGAGGCTACATGCCATTGTTGTTTGTAATGTTCAAATGTCTTTAATAAATAAGTGCATGTTGAAGCACATGGGATTTATTGGTCCTAAACGTCAATGAGTAAAGAACTGATTGATTTCGTACATTAAACCAAAGCAGGACTGAACTGTTTTATATACAAATCACTGCTTTCTGTCATTATAATTCCAAGGCCACGATATATCAAAATGCTTATCGGCCTTATGCCTCTGGATAACATCTGCGTGAGAAAGATGTATTCATTTGGAGACATAATGGTAAATGAAGACTCAACCTTCCTGCAGATCTGCAGATGAACACGTATAAAGGGTATTTCAGAATGACAAGAGCGCCGTGGTCTCACCGTTGCGGTCCAGTAAATGGGGGTCGGAGTGTTTCTTGCCTATGTCAGCGAAGGATCGAACCAGCGGGATTCGGTTGCTCAGCTTCTTCTCGTTCTGATGGTGGTGACGTCTCAACATGGCCTCCCTCACCTTCTCTCGAACGCCCTCCTCCAGCTGACCCGACGCCAGCATGCTGTCAATCACCATGTCTGCAACGTGAGGACAAGGACACGAGGTTAGCTGCACACTGGTCTTTTAATGATCATAAAGTCGGTTAACAAAAGCAGGTTAATAACAGCTGTGGGATGTTGCTATCCTGGTATTGGAATGGGGGACAGGAGGTTTTCTTCTCATCCTTACTGACACAGTTACACACTGAAATACGCGGCTGTGGTTAGCATGCTGACCTGCGATCTCCTCGATGGCGTTGGCCCTCATGTCGAGCAGCACGGTGCCGTTCAGGATGCAGGAACGCAGCTCAAACAGACTGTGGAGGGACAGCGTGGCCACGTACGGTTTACTCCAACGTTCACCACCGTCTTCTACGTCCTCCTCAAACTTCAGCCACCTGAAAACACAGCAAAAACCTATTAGCCTAAACTATACGCTAGATTTAGAACATAAACGTCGGTTTAAACCTTAAATGAAATTTCAGCTTTTGTTCGGCTGATTTCCGTTGCACAGAAATATATGATTTTAAGTTTTAGGAACATCCAGAACCAAAAGCTTCTCTTCCCAGTTCAGTTCACTCCTGGTCAGAAACAGTCCAGGCATTAACGTAACATCTACAAAGCTCTGATGATAACTCCTGAATAAATAAAGGTTCATGCTGTACAGAGAACGAAGGATTACCAGTGAAAACACAGTGAAGTGGTGCGTTATTCTGAATGTGTGTAATGATAAGCAGGAGGCAGGAAAGGATAAACCTCTTAGATAAAAACACTGGAAAGGTAAAGAGAGTGCTGAGGGCGTCCTCACCTGGCCGTCTCCCTCCACTCCTGGAAGTCTCCGTCTCTGAAGGCGAGCTCGTCCAGCTCGGTGAACAGGTCGTGGGGGATGTGCTCCTCGTCTCCGTCCTCCGTCCCGAGGATGAACTGGACTCTCTGAGACGGCGTGTCTGCAGGGACAAACTCTTCATCAGGTAATCAATTCATGATAATCAGCGTTACCAAAGAGTGTGTGTGTGTGTGT